ATCCAGGGGTTCGGGCCCCTCGGCCCCGGACCCCCTGGCCCCGGGCGTCAAAGCCGCCGACCGGGGCATTGAACGCGAGTGGGCCGCCAGGTCCAAAACCAAGGGCCCTAGGCTTCAGAGCTATGGGGTCTAGGGGCCCCGTCCCTTCTACTCGCCATCATTTCCCTTCGTCCGCCCATTCCCCCTCCTCCGCCTCGTCGCCCTCCTCCTCATCCCCCCGCCCCCCCATCCCTCCTCCCTCCTCCCTCTTCCTCCCTCCTACTCCCTCCTCCTCCTTCCCCCCCGCCCCTCCTCCCTTTCCGCCCCTCCCCCCCCCTCCCCCCGCCCCCCTCCAGCCTCTTCCCCCTTTCCTCCTCCCCCTCCTCCCTGCCGCGCCCGTTTCCTCCACCCAACCTTCTTCGCTCCTCCTCCCGCCCTCCCCCCCCCCTTCCTTCCCCGCCCCCCTCTCCTCCCCTGATGATTCGAGCCGGGGCGAACGTGCGACGACCATGAGCATGAAGTTTCGTTTGTTTTCTGGGGGGGGGGGGGCGGGGGGCGAGGATCAGGGCGCGCGGCTCGAGCGAGCAAGCGCTTCCCCATTGCCCCACGAACAATTTGCATTGGAAAAGGGGCGCGGCGCAATGGGCAGTTTGCCATATGCACGGGGGGTTGCCGCCTTGACGCGCGCCTTCCACTCGAAACGATCGTTCGCCGCGGCGCGATTGCCCGGCGGGGCCCGGCCGCGACGTCGAGCACCCTTCTCGCCATTCCCCCCCACTGCGCGCGCGCGCGCGCGCGAACACATGCGCGCGCCCGCGCGCGCGCGCGGCCCCCCGCCCCCCCGCCCCCAGCCCGCCCCGCCGCGCCCCACCCAACCCCACCCCCCTCCCATTTCCCCACGCCCCCGCATCCCCCGCGCGTCCTCAACCAAACGAACGCGCGATGTCGCGCGTTCCAGGGCGCCGTCGAGGGCCGCAGACCCCCGCCGCGCCCCGCGCGCGTTTTGCACGGCGGGGGTCGCCGATGAATAACAAACGCCCCCGCGCGAACCCCGTCGCCGGCGCCCGCCCTTGACAAAAACATTCATCCTGTTTCGCGGCCGCTGCGCCTGGGCCGCGACCGCCCGCGCTGGAACGACGAAGCCTGCTCGGATCGCCCGCGGCGCCCGGGCGCCAGCGCCCCGCGCGCGAAGCGGGATTTGGCGACCCCTGTTTGCCAGGGGTGGCATGTGCGGAAGGCGATTTCACTGCCCCTACCTATTGCGGACTCTCCGGGGCACCGGGGGTAGCGCGCGAAATAGGGGGCGGAGCGGGGGGCGCGACGAGCATGGGTAGGACGCTTTCGCGGGGGGCCGGGCAGGGCCCGAGACGGGCAGCTCGAACGAGCGAGCGCGACCCAATTGCCCTGCGCCCCTGTTGCGCTGGAAGCACCAGCTGCGCAACGCAACGGGTGGCGGGTCGCGCAGGGCGCTGTCACTCTGGCGCGCGAGTTCCACTCGAAGCGAACGCATCCAGGGGCGCACTTGCCCGGCTGTGAATGGCTGGGGCGCCTGCCATCATAACCCTCATCACCGCCTTTCACGCGCCCTCTTCACCCCCCCAATCCCTCGCGCCCTCACTTCAAAAGCGGCGGGGGGGGCCGATGGCCCCCGCTGTGACCCGCGTGCTCTGCGTGGCGAGGGTTGCCAGTGATTCAGACAACGGCCGAATGGCCCGCCGCGCGACCCCTGGCAGCCATGCCCCTCCTTAACAAAAACCTGCCCCCCTTTTTGTGGCCGCCGCGCTCGCCGCCGCGAACGCCGCGGCCCCTGTGGTTATCCCATCCCAGGTCGATGATCTTGCAACGAGCCTGGTAGCGGGGTTCGCTACGGAGCAAGTCACGGCGTCCTCGCGCTGGCAATTGACCGTGCGCCCCTCCGTCATCTCTGTGAAACTCATGGAGCGCCTGAGCTCGCGAGGGGCTCCACCGGGGTTGAGGGCGACGTCGGCGCGTGGTCGGGCGCTGTTCATGTCGGTGGCGAGCGCGCTCGAAGCGAGCAAGTCCTGCGCCCGGTGACGCAATAGATGCACATGCTCGCGCTCGGGTGGTTCACGAGAAGCGACCCCGCCGCGACCGCCGCCGCCGCCTTGCGAGCCGGCTCCGCCAGGCATCGCGCAGATGAGCCAGACAAGGAGGGCGCGCCGCTGGATGTGCCCAAGTGCGCGGTGCCCCCCCCCCCCCCGTCCGCCCCCCGATCCGTCGCGGGCGGGGCCCGCCCCCCCCCCCTCCCCTTCGTTCCCGATCCGTCGTCGGGGGCCCCGCCCCCTGTCAGAAGGGGAGAAAGCCCACCCCCTCTCCTTCGGCCGCCAAATTCGCACCCCCCCTCCCGCCCCCCCTTTCGCCGCGGCGCCCCCGGTCTCCAGAGCCCGACCCCTGCCGCCCCTCGCGCTGATCCTCACCCCTACCCTGGCCCTGTAATCCTAGCCCCAAACCCTGGCCCCAATCATTACTCACTACTCATTACGCACTACTCACTACCCACATTCCACTACTCGCTACTCACTACTCACTTCTCACTACTCACTACTCACTACCAACTACCCACGACTCACTACCCACTACCTACTAATCACTACTCCCAACTCCCCTCCCTACTCCCTGCTCGCTACAAACCTTTCACTACTCACTACCCGCTACTCAGTACTCAAGACTCACACATCAAAACTCACCATCCACTACTCACTAATCACAAACCACTACTCACTACCCACTAGCCACTATCCACTAACCACTACTCACACTTAACTACAAAGTACTCACTGCCCACAACCCACTATTCACTTTCCACTACTCGCTACTTTCCACTCCCTGCCCCCATACACAGTACTCACTACTCACTACTCACTACTCGCTACTCCATGCACCCCACTTGCTACCCAATACGCACTATTCATTACCCACTACTCACTACTCACTACGCTCCCACTACCCACGACTCACTACTTTCTACTCCCTACTCGCTACTCCCAACTCACTACTCACTACTCACCACACAATACTTGATACCCACTACTCACTAAACGCTACTCACTGCCCACTACTCAATACTCGCTTAGCGCTACTCACCACACACTAACCACTATCCACTACTTACTACTGAATACTCATAATTCAATACTCACTACGCACTGCCTACAACTCGCTTCTCACTATCCGCTGCTCGCTACCCGGTACAAAAACATTCATGACCCACTGCGCACTACTCGCTATTCACTGCTCACCACTCCCTACTCCCTACCCACTAATGACGAAACGCAAGTCACGAGTCACTACTCACTACTCGCGACTCACTAGTCAGTAATATCTACCCGCTACCCCCAACTCATTACCCATTACTCAATACCCACTTCTCGCTTCTCACTACTCACTACTCGCTACTTCCTACTCACCACTCACGACTCACTACTCATTACTCGCTACTCCCTACTCGCTACGGCCTACTCCCTACTCATTACTGACTCCTGACTACTCCCTCCTCCCTACCCACTACTCACAACGCCATACACGCTACTCACTGCCCACTAGTCGCTACTCCCTACTCGCTAGCCCCTACTCGCTACTCGCTACTCACCACTCACTAGTCACTACTCTCTACTCACTGCGCACTACTCACCACCCACTCGCTATTCGCTACTGTCTACTGTCTACCCCCTCATCCCTTCTCCCTGTTTACTACTCACTATGCACTACTCACTACACACTACTCACTCCTTACTGCTCACTACTCACAACTCCTTACTCATGATCGTCGTCGTCGTCGTCGCCTCCTCCTCCTCCTCCTCCTCCTCCTCCTCCTCCCCCTCCTCCCCCTCCTCTCCCTCCCCCTCTCGAAGCCTTCGTGAAGCCAGTTCCAGAAACACTCGAACTATCCAGAAACCGAAATCAAAGATCCCGAGGCCAGACCCCCCCCCCTTGCGGGAGGGGCCCCCTCCCCAGCCCCCTGTACGGCGCAAAAGGGGGGAGGGGGGGGGGAGAGGGGGGGGGTCGAAAATCTCACCCCGCCATTGAAGGGGGAGAAAGGGAGGGGGGGGTTGCGAGCACTTCCCCCCGTTTGTGTACTCAGGGTCATACACTGGCGCGTTTTCCCGGATAAGGGCGGCCACGAAAAACATGGGGATGCTGCCCCAGAGCGTCAAGATGGATATCCTCCTCGACAGGACTCCAGCACGATGGGAGCTGCGGGGGCGCCTTGGCTTTCTGGCCTGCGCAAGGGCGAATGCCATGTCGAAGTTGAGGCCACGTGTAGTGGCCTTGGTCGAGGCCAAGGGTGGTGAATCTGGTGCGATGACCTCCAATGTTCCAGTCGAGTGGTGCGAAGTGCTTGCGATGACAACAAACACTGTCGCGCACGTCGCGAAGCACGGTGTTAGCCGAGGGAGGAACCTCGCCAGCATGCCCAACGTGAAGCTGTGGCCAGTATCGGTGGGTTGCGATGGGTCGTGGGGAACGTCGTGGCGTTCCCGTGTGGGCGTGTTCACTATCGAGTAATCGCCTGCAGCTTATTTCTCCTCGCGACCGGATCTTCACAGAGACTCGAACGATGTTGCTTGCCTGTGAGCGTACGCGGACGTGAAAGGCAGTGTGACTGCGCATCCACGTCGCACTCTGCGAACGTTCCGTGGATTGTGAGTTTGGATCGCCCCCAACTCCGCTACAAACTAGAATTGTGGGGGTGGGGGGCTTGACGTGAGAAAACATGGCGGCAGTAAGATGCACATGGCGGGTTTCCCACTCATCGATGCATGTCTAGCGAGCGCCGCCGCTGCAGCCCAAAGGCGGCAAAACATCCGAATGGAGTGAGGAGGATGAGAGGGAAAATGAGGAGGAGGACGACGACGAACATCTGGACGATATGGAAAACGATGAGGAGGATGAAAACGAGGGGGATGAGAACGAAGAGGAAAACGAGGAGGGCGCAAGCAGGGGGCTTAGAGGGAAGACGAAGTCGAGGGAAAGGAGAAGCACTAGGGAAGGGGGGGCACCTTCATCCTGTCGAAGGTTTCCGGGTCGAGCGTCTCCTGCCCCTTGCTGTACAGCAAGAAAGCCTCCCTCGCTCCCCCTCTGCCGCACGCCGCTCGCTGCCCCGCGGGCCCCCAGACGCCGCTCTCCGCGTCCCCTCCTCCTCCCCTCTGGGCCTCCGAACCGACTTCCCCGCCCGACCAGACGGGGCTCCTAGATTTCAAAGGAGAGAGCCCCCGACCCGCCTCGCACGCGCTGCATACCGCGGCCGCCAGGCCCCAAGAATATCGGTGCTCCCTGGATATCCTGCCTTGAGTTTTCGACGAATGACAACTGCCCGGGGCTCCCTGGATCTACCGCCTCGCGTTCTGGGGTGGGGATCGCCAGAAGCAGCATTCGTTTCATGCCGGCCTCCAGGGACGGCTTTCGAGAGCTGCAAGAGGTGTTCGGCGGCGTGCCGAGGGGGTTCAGGAAGGGGGGGGGGGGCAAGCCTTCTCATAAGACGGCGGGGCTTCCGAGAAGGCGTACGGAGCTTCTCAGAAGGCCAGAGGCCTTCTGAGCCTTTTGAGAAGGCCGGATCCCTCTGCCCTCTGCCTTCTCCCCTGGGCGCGCCGCCGAGGCAACTTCGCACCCTCGTGCTCGGCGATGTGCGATGATCTTCACGCCCTTGCGGCGCACCCCTCGGACAAGGGCAGCCCTTCTGGCCTAGACCGCGACGCGCGACACACGATTGCCTGCGCGCCCCCACGCGTGATCCAGAGAGGTGTTCCCGAAAAAAGGCGCCCCCAAGGTCTGCCCCGCCCCCCCCCCCGAGACGACTCGAGCTTGCACGGGGGCCCGAAGGCCCCACGGCACGAATACTGGACGAGTACTGTGACGTGCCCCACGGCCTGTTTTGAGGCCATCGACGCTACAGCCTTGCAGGTTCGCACTGAGCAGCCCCGACTGCCCCTTCTCAAGGCTGCATTCGGAGCTTGTGTCGCTGCACCAGCACTCGGACATGTTCATCCATCCCTGGGTGCGCTCTTCGCAGTCCACTTCTCCCCGGCTCCCTAATTAGCTTTTTGGCAGCCCCACCTGGCTACCTCGATCTGTGCGAGCGCCAGGTCCGCGACACAAAAAAACTGGTTTGAGGCCATTGGGAGAAGCTGCCAGACCCCTCGCTGGACCATCTGGCCCCTTCGCAAGGCTTGCCCTCCGTCGATGGGGCATCGACAAGGGGGACTGGCTCAGGGGGCGGAAACGTCGACCTGGGGATTGCAATACTTCACCGATGGATCGGCGATAGGCCCCCGATAGCGGAACCTCACGTCCCTGGGCGGGGTGGGCTATCGGGCCCCCCTCGGCGATCAGTGGGCGATGGGGGCTCGATGCGTCCCCCGCTGAGCCTATCCTCCCATGACCCATGACGTTGCCCCTGATGGACCGTCTCTGTCGGCCCGCAGCCCCCCGAAACGGTCTTTCGTGGGGCCGCGGGAGGCCGACAGGAGACGACGCCCAGGGCGGCGCCGGGCCCCTTCTGGGAGGGGGACCAGGAGCTCTGGCGGCCCGCGCACGGAATCCCACCAGCCCTCTGGGCGTGGGTGGTCTAGCGCGTTTCCTCTTCCACCCCTCCCTCTTCCCCTTCGGGGAGGGGTTCACCCTCCCCCTTACCCCCTCCCCTGGACCTGGAGTGTGGGGTCGCGGGTCGTTGGAGCGTCCAAAATGGCCCACGATGGCCCTAGGAGGGCCTCAGAGAGCCCACGATGACTTCCAAGATGGCCCAAGATAGCCAAAGATGGCTCAATGTGGCTCCCAAGATGCTCCGAGTGGCCCCAAGACCGCTCCAAGACGGCTCCGAGTGGCCACGGAGCCTACCCAAGAGGTCGCCAAGAGGCCAACATCCTTCAACAACTTACGGAACATCAGTGAATTTTATTTTCCAGCCTTTTCCCTTCCGATGGCCTTCCGATCCGAAGCCTCAAGACAGCTCCAAGAGGGCCCCGAGAGCGGCCCAAGAGAGCCTCAAGACAGCCCCAAGAGCGCTCCAAGAGTGCCACAGGAGGGGCCCACGAGGTGATTTTTGGGGCACCCTGGGGGGACGTAATTAGAGCTCCCATATGTTTTTGATCGATCTCGTCCGAATTGGCCCCAAGAGGCGCCCCAGGAGGCTCCCAAGAGACCCCCACGATGCTCCCCGAGGCACCCAAGACGCTCCAAGATGCCCCCGGGACCGCCAAGAGGCTCCCAACACGCCCCAAGAGGTTTCCAAACAGTTTCCAAAAGATATCCGAGGCGACTCTGAGAGGCATTCAAGAGTCGGGGGCGCGCAAACATGGATTAGCGATCCATGGGTTTGGCGCGCGTTCGCAAAGTCCATGGATCGGGGGAGGTGCCCTCCCTAATACGCGGCCAATTCCGCCTCACTCGGCGAAGGAAAACCGCGATTGCCCCATGGAAACGGGGCCCGTCGCTAATCCACGCCACCTTAATCCACGTCTGCGATCGCCTGGAAAAGGCCTCTGGCCCTTCTGCTCGCTCGTCGTCTTCTCCTCCTCCTCCTCCTCTTCCTCCTCCTCCTCATCCGCCTGAACCGTCCTCACCATTTACGACTCCGAAGCTTAAAAATGTCAGCAGTTTCGCAGATGGCGGGCGGGTCGCTTTCAAACCATGGTTTTCGTCTTAGCGTCGCACATGTGGCTCTCGCCTTGGCGCCGCGCGCATTCGTTTCGAACGTTGGCAAAACATTCACGGATTGAGAGCGGCTCCTGTTCAAAATGTGGCTCTCGTCTTAGCGCCGCGAACACTCGATTGGAACAGGTGCAAGAGTTTCACGGATTGAGGTCGGGCCGTTTTCAAATATGACTTTCGCCGAGCGCCGCGTACATTCATGTTGAACATGTGCGAGAACTTCGCGGATGGAGGGCGGTTGCCTTTCAATGTGCCGCGCGCACGTGTTTTGAACATTTGCAGCAATTTCACGGGCTCCCATGATCAACGTGCCAGACATGGCGTTTTGGGCGGATTTAGAAACATGCGGGCGCAGCATTTCTGTCGATTCGCTGTTGAAGTCACCAATATTGCGTTCTGGCACGATTCTGAATCCTTTAGACGCAGCAGTCCTCATCCTCCCCCTCCTCCTCCTCCGATTCAAGATGGCGCCGAGATCGCCTGAAGGCCCCGAGAGAGGCCCGAGAGAGCCCGAACACGGCCCAAAGAGCGCCCGAGAGTGTCCCAAGAACGCTCCAATAATGACCCTTCCTCTGCGTGCTGCCCACTTCCCTGGTCGACGCATATCCTCCGAACGTCGTCTGTGGACGAGCTGTCGGGGTTGCTTTTTCGATCGCGACCGCAGGCGGGCGCCCGCGCGGCGTCCGAAAGTCGCAAGAGACGCGCGAGCCCTGCTGTCGCAAGCGAGACGCGGAAAAAGGGCCACGGAGTTGGCGGAGCTACCAAAGCAGAGACAGGGGCTGACGAAAGCGATGGGCGGGCGAGGACGAAGAAGCGGCAGGGGCAACGAAGCGGACGGAAAGGAAGACAGGGGCGGATAACAGAGGGCTAAGCCGCAGCTCAGGCGCAGACGTAGTACGCGACCGCACCTCGCCGAACAGCCTGTACTTGTCGTGACTCTCAACATGCCCGAACCAATCCACTCGGACGCGGTGCCGCGAGAGGCGGGGATTCCACGACGCCGACTTATGGCGGCGGGGGCGGGCGGTGGCGCAGGGCCCTTGCAGCCGGCCGCCCATCAGGCCACCTCCGTGGCCAGCGAGGCCACAGTGCAGAAATCCTCGCATTCCTCGAGCCCCGGGGGGGGGGTAGAGGGGGGGGGGCCGACCAAGAGAAGCAACGAACGATTGCCGGGGCCCGACAAACTCCGAAGGGAAGCAATTGAAGTCGCGAGTGGGTGCGCACGCCAGCGCCGTCACGGATCAGCCCGGGTCCGCCGGGCTACCAGCCTCAGGGCGATGGGGGATTGCATCTCCTGAGACCTACAGCTCATTAGGGGGCGCAGCCGACGGCCGCGGGAAGTGGGAAGAAGCTCCGCCTGAGACGCTCATCAAGGGCATGCGCGGCAGGGGCGGGCCGGGGGGCGCGGCCGCGCCTGCTGGGGCGGTTGGGGGGGGGCAGCTGACAGCCGGAGGGCCCGGAGACGTCCTTCTCGGGCCGGTGCGCTTCGCCCGAGACAAGCCGATGCCAGGCTGGGGCGCCGCTGACAGCCGCAGCAGAATAGGGGGGGCCACGCCGGAGACGCGCTGCAGCCCGGCAGGGGCGCAGCAGACAGCCGTGGTGGGACGGGGGAAACAACGCCAGAGACATGCTGGCGCACTGGTAGGGCGCAGCTAACAGCCGCGCGAACGAAGGAAAAGGGGGCCGCCTAGTTTTCTAGCAGGGGGCAGCTAACAGCTGCAAGGGGGCAGGGGCGGTGCACCTCGCCTGGGACATGTTGGGCCGGGGCTGGGCCGACGACCAGCGGGGGTGGAGCTGGCGGCCGCGGAGTGATGAGGGGGGCCCAGCCTGGGGAAACCTGAGCTGGAGCGCAGCTGACAGCTGCAGACCGCTGGAGGATATCGTCGCCTGAGACACAGAGGTCCTCATGCTTCGCGCTTGCGCCGTGTGAAACCGTCTGGCGCTCTGGTCGGGCCAAGCTAACACCCGCGGGAACGTGGGAAAAGATGCGGATGCTTTCGCCTGCGACATGCTGGTGATCTGCCTCGGAGCGGCAAGCGGGAGGGCAGCCGAAAGCCGCCCGCGGAGGTGAAGTGGCCGGAGAGACTGTCGAGCCCAGCCCGACGACCGGCGGGGTGAAGCTGGCGGCCGCGGAGCGAAGGAAAGGAGAATATCCAACCTTGGGAAACCTGGGCTGGGGTGCAGCGAACAGCCGTAGGACGTTGGATGATATCGTCGCCTGAGACAAAGAGGTCCTCATGCTTCGCGTTTGCTCAGTGGGGGGCTGCCCGGTGCTCTGGTGGGGTGCAGCTAACGGCCGCGGGAAGGTGGAAAATGGATGCCTTCGCCTGAGACATTCATGCTGATGATCTGCATAGGGGCGGCAAGCGGGGGGGTGGCCGAGCGCCGCCGACGGCCAAGAGCGGGGCGAAGCGGC